CAAGGTTCCAATTTACCTTTTTGAAAAACTGGTACCGCTCATAGTACAACAGAGAAATAAGTCTAAAGAGATTAACATTCTTACACTAGCGTCGCAGTATATTTATGAAAATGTAATTTATGTTATGAAGAATAGTATTTTTTTATGAAAAATAGTGGCAGACATAGCATGAATACGAGGAATAAAAACCGGCCTCAAAAGTGTGTTTATCAGCTTTTTTCGATTTCCATTGGATCCTCTCATCAGATTCTGACTTCTTGGTGTTAATGACATTGTTAGGGTTTCCTTTGTACATTTTATATTTTATTGTACTTGTTGTCATGGTTACAGTGTTTTGTTGATTACACGTATTGTCAAGTTTTTTTTTTATTCATTTATTCAAAAAAAGTTTATACATTTACAACAATACATCTCCCGCCAAACTGGAAACAGTTTGTTGGCGAGCACGCTCTCACACACAGTATATGTTAACTCTTAATTAATGAATTAATAGCGCACAATAAAAACAACAAACAACTAATAATTAGTATAACTAAACTTAGACTTAACTTCTACTAACTATCCTAATAATATATTTTTTAATTTTAATTTTAAGTGAAAAAGTTGACTTTTATTTCCGGAAAATAATTAGTAATTTGATAGCCGAAACGAACCCAGAGCAGCATCAGTAGCCACCCTTTGAAACAAAAGAAGAATTTTCAAAATCGGTCCGCAATTGACGGAGAAATTGGTGAATACACGTTCATGCCTGTAAACTTTGAGGATCCCTTCATCTCATTGTGACTTGGTAACATTGGATCCACCATGATAGTGCACCCTTTCGAACAAAATCAAAAGAATTTTCAAAATCGGTCCACAATTGACGAAGATATTTGAAGACATACATACTGCCAAACGTATAACCTCCTCCTTTTTTTTTGAAGTCGGTTAATAAACTAACTGTTTTTGACAGTCTTCACAAAGTCAGAAATTGATTTAGAGGGTAATGTATACGCTTCTAATATTCCGGGTGATGTTCAAAATTTGTTATATGAAAGGTTTAAAACTATAGTGAAACAAAAACGATTCTAAAAGTTATTTATTATACGGCCTCTGCGTACTTGGATGACAAAATTCCGTGTATTATCGATCTAAGATGTTTGAAATGTATATTGTGAATGATAATAGATGTATTCAAATGTAAATTTACAAAGAGCAACCCCTAGAGTTTCTTGCTCATTCTTCGCAGGGGAATCTGGCTTACGAATGAGCAGCAGAGTTTAATCTATATGACGATTTCAAATGTAATTTGCTTGCTAATCTATGAAAAAAGGTGATCAGACTTTTTATCATTTTTTTCCTAATATGAGACCAGATTGTTGATATGATTGTTTGAGTCATTATTATTGTTATAATTTTAATAAAAAGTCTTAACAAGTTAAAAAATTTCCAACTCACTATCTTTTTTATTTGTTACTCGAATATCTCCTCCCGAAACTTGGTATATCGGACTAATTTCCGTCTCATTAAATACTAGCTCGAGCGAGCCCAAATTAGATGCCGTACTGATGCTATCGACGCAATGAGATATAAAATGAAACCAAAGCTTGCTTAAATGGAATTTAAGACTTTGAAATAATATTTCTTAAATGTTATTTTAAGTAAAGAACGATTCTTTACGATGTTGCGATTTTTGATTGATGCTATTTGATGGTGGAACGGTTTTCTTTTTTCAAATCTATATCACATCTATTTTGTCTTTTTTTTACAAACCAACGTCCACAACTCACGTCACTATTTATTTACACAAGCATGCAATAGAAACTTTATCATTTTTCACAACGTTTTTCATTTATTCTTTCAGAGTAAAGCCAGAATGAATGAAATATTCTATATTACATTTTAAAATTATACTGACAACACAGAACAATAATGTAAGTATTACAGAGTAAATCAATGAACAACAGGCGACCTTATTGCTAAGTAGTAATTTCTTCCAGGCAAGCTTAGGATAGAAATTTAAGAGTTGAAAAATTTTGATTAATTTAATTTTACGATAAACGCCGTGACTGTTCATGAACAGGTTAAAGAAACTTCTCTTTTCGCATATATGAACCTTTTCATAATTTTAGAATAAGTTCTGGCACTAGAGATGCCTGCTATCGAACTGCAGTATATCAGAGAATGTTTAGTAGCAGTAGATCTCCTTGTGAAGGAGCTCGTCCAGGGAAGGACGATTATCTATTTCTGCCGCCAAGCAGTAACGTCAGCATTACTATGTTTCGGTTTAGAAGGGTTAAGGGGGCTGGTGAAATTACAGGCACATGGGACTTGTCAACTTATGTTTCAGGGTGACGGGCGCAGTGGCAGTGACATTGCAACTGTTATGGATAGGCGTGTCGCATACCACCAGGCACAGTCCCGTCACTTGCGATTATAAAAAATAAAAAATACGGAATGTAAATTATTTACATGGGCCTTTCCATATCCCACAGACATGTATACCAAGTTAGTTAAGTTAATAAATGTTAGCATCCAATAAACAACATTAAAATCTTCGAAATAATAACAACTAAAATCGAAATGTTAATCTTAATATAAACAAATAGTTAATTATAATTTTAATGAACACTGTTCAATATTAAAGATTCTGTGTAAAGTGATAACTTGTACTGTCAGAAACGTGACTAAATTTGCGCATTTCGCTTTCGCTCGGAAGTGTACTTTCTCCCGTAGCCACCTCTTGGCCACCTTTCGTCTATCAATTTATAGAATAGAATAGAATACATTTATTACATAACACCACAACACAATAATAAACAGTAAAACATAAAAGTAAAAAAAAAAATAAAAATAAAACAGAACTAAATTAAAACTAAAACAAATTATATTTAAACAAACAGAAAATGAATAACAAAAAAGAAAACTAAATAAAATTAATTAAAAATAAAATCTTAGCAATAAATAATTATGCGACCACAAAGCTGGACAACACTATTGTTGTACTAAGTAGATGTCATGTGTGCGGCTGTGGCGTACGTAATATTTACTTGGTAATGCTCATATTAAATAATACTCTGTGACTACTAATGTACGTGTTAAACTACTCTATTTAGGTTTAACAGAGTAAAGTAAAATGATGTCTAATGTTAGGACATAAGGTACGAAATAAACAAATAATTTAACCACGACTGATCTAAATGTGACTGTGCTTATATGCTCGTTACGAACGCTTCGGCGAAGTATTACCTGTTCACTTATTTATGGGGTCGTATTTTCTGTCTGTCTCTTTCTGACTACAATTTATTTTCGAGGTAGCGCCTTAAATTTTTTATCAGATCTATCAGTGCGGCTATATTTTGCCCAGGAAGTATACCCGAGCTTTTTATTAACCCGTACCGTCTGAACACGGATCAGTTAATCAATTTTTTTATTTAGCTTTCGTTGATTTCGACAATTTCTTTTCATGGAAGGACTGTAGCAGGTTTCACGTAAACTGTCGGAAAATGTAAAGCAACATTTTTGAAAACTTTTAAATTGTCTTACATAGAAATTTATAATTGCAAAAGTCCTTTTAAAGCTGTTGTCATTAAATGTTTGTACAAACTTTGAATAACACGTACCTAGATTAGAGATTTTTTCCTTGCTGACAGAGTTACATGTAAATATATTTCGTCGCCTTCTTTCTCAAACTCGTATCTGAAAGCACAAAGTTACTAAAATGCAAAAAATGGATTGTACATACAAATTTTGCAGACTGATTTCACGTCATATTTACTTACACATTTACGTATTCTTAAAGTAATGGATCCAAATCAACACCCTTGATAAGAAATTTAAAATTAATACAAAGTTTTGTCATCTCCTGAATAATCACTCTTTTATAAAATACGAGTTAGAGAAAGTCGATTTATGATTGTACAATTTAGTGCAAATTATATACTAAGCAACATCATCTTCAATCCATTACACGTCTCACTGCTGGGGCATGGGTTTTCTTTAAGGTTTAGGTCATAGTTATAAACATAAAAAGTATACAACAAAATACAACCTAAAAACGACTTCATCCTATTTTAGATAACGGAAAGATAAATTTCAGACTTACACAAAGGCATCTATTTTACGGGACTTCTAAAGAATTACCCAAGAACTTTTCAGTGAATCGCTTTTTGCGGATTTATTAAAGACCAGGATTTATTCTTTAAGGATCTGAAATTCTTTGCAGTGGCAATAAAAACAGTGCTTTCATTAAAGAAACTATTTTTAAGCTTTAAAGACTTAAAATTCCCTATTGGTTTTTCTTTCCAATACTTATAATACAAACCTGAAGTGTAAGTAAGTATAAAAACAAAGTTCTATTGTATGTCTACGTGGCAGAGATAATTATCTTCATATTTATAAAGTTAATAGGAACAATAAAATGCTACCTTTAGCAACATCGTGTCATGTGTTTAACTAGAGTTTTTTCCATCTTCTAAGAGAGACCCAAACGTGTCAAAGGTCAGTCTCGAGAAAATCACAAACCATATCGTTTTCCCCAAGATTTTTCATCGTGTTTATTTAATTTTCTCACTGCTTGCAATTTTAGTAAAAAATTAAAGTGACTTCTATGAATCAGCAGAATTGGCAATATATCGGATAATTATATGAAGTTACATGTCAATTCAAACCCTGTATTACTTTAATCTAGAAAAAAACGAAACCTCTTCACTATTCTATACATTTTTCTAAATTCGAGTGCACTTGTAAAAGTTACAAGTACAGGTAAAACAACATTTTTTGCGAATATCCGTCAAGCGGTCACGGAGCGCTGTCTAGGCCGGACGGCTCGCGGACGACGTCAAAGGAGATTAGGTTCGTTTTCACAATTGTCACCCTTGCTCGCCCCGCACCCCGCGCCCGTGCCTCTACACTCCGGCCACTCGGCTTATGTGACCCGACTCACTAACCCGGGAATGGTGACTGTAGTGGAGGAATAAACATCCCATATTTACATATCCGCGACTGAATTGTCCCAATAGATTTATGAGTCGACTTAATATTAGCCTTTGTGCTCAAGTTTTTAGCGAAACGTCTAGTTTCAAAAATACAATTGCATTTAAGATTTTATGTGGTTTTGATATATTGCCACTCCCTGTAGTCGCAGTTCTACTTTTACCCCAATTTCAGTATCTAAGTCTTCCCAGTGTTTATGGTGATTGAATTGTGATAAGACTGAAGAATGGCTTGGGGTTATTGGTCTGCGTCGTCTGTGCTGCCGGACCGCGGCCGCAGTCCGCGCCGGGCCGGCACATCTGCTGTCCACGCTCATCCCAACCCCCCCACGGCGAGGGAGGTCATGGAGACACACGACGAGAGTATCCTCCATACAGCGTCAACATCACGCGACAGCCGGGACCATTCGGCCTCACCTCACTCGTCGTCAAACGGGGGTCATTCCCACCAACACGAAGTCCGCCACGCCGTTCCTGCCAGTGCGTTATTTGGGGAAAGTTACGGGGAATTATCCAGAAGACCTTCGTTGGATTTGGGGTCAGTGCGGAGTGCTCTAGCTTCTTGTTCGGGGGGTGGAACGCTTAGTGCGGGGTCGACATTGACTAGAGGGGGAACATTAGCTGATTATTTACCACCGACGCCGTGTCCACATCACCACAGAGTGTATGTAGACCATCATAAACACTACGAGCAGCCGATCCAGCCGGTTCACGTGGGGGTGGGGCACCACTCGCACTCGCATGCGTCTGCGCACTCGAGTAGACATCACACGGATGACGAAGATGACCTTGAACCGGCGTATGCGACAGGTAAGTGTAAAACTGTCTTGACTTGAAATTACAAATAAATTCCGTCACCCATACTTAAGTTACTATTTAAATATGTTTGCTAACATAAACAAAAATTATTAAGATCTCTAACGATTTACCAACCTTCATAATATTTCAATGTTGATGACTCAGCGAATTATTAGGGGACAGAAATGGGTTTTCATTTACTGCAACCCAAGTAGTGACTCAGTTTACCAAAATGATGCGAGCGTATTTCAGCAGATGAACTTACACAGTAACAAATACAAATATATTTTACAGACGTGCTATCAAAAATATTTGGTTCTCGTACATATACACCGTGTAACACGTTTTGTGTCTTTGGGAATTGAGTGTTATTTCCTCCTTTTTTATGACTAAAAAGTTTAGAAAACGAATGAGTTTTATATTTGTCATATCACCATATATTTACGTACCTAAATGGGTAACAAATTAGCCAGCAAAATTTTACAGCATAACAGCTTTTTCTGTACTTTCTGAGTATAGGAAATAAGAAACCGATAATTGTTCAAAGTCAGAAAATAAGTTTCAAATTTTTTACACAGTGTTATCTCTTCACCGTGCTTTCATATGGACAAGCAAATATTTTTAAATTCCAAATTTTTATTTTTCCTCAATATGTTTTTTGTGGCACCTTTTTTTTTACACCTTGTATAAATTGTTCACAAGACTCGCCTATACCGTGTAGTCAACCATCAAGGCTATTGACAAGCCAGTCGCTCACCAAATTTCAAAGCTTCTTTTGAGTCAAGAACCTAACCTTACCCCAAATTCAAGAATAAAACAAAACTTTAAATGATTGATTCAAAAACTTCGCGGTTTGTCTCGAAATTATCGAATAGCAAACAAACAAACAGCCGACCAATAACTTTGATTGATCACCTGTCACGCTTTCGCCCATCTGTCACACTCATTGTTATTGAGATTTTGTGTCGAAAAGTTCCGGTTTCAGTTTTAAATCCATTTATTATCATTGCCGAAAATTACATTTCCTTGAACACGAAACGTGACATGTAATACTACACCTACATCATCGAAAATGGTATGTTTTATTAGAACCGCGTAATCGTCGACGATAACTGTTACATATATTCTAAATTTTACACAGTACTACAGTTATTCTAGTAGTTTTATTATTTTTATTATTATATATATTACTTATTTTATTATTAATACAAAGATCGAACACTTAGAAAAAATCTTTCGATCCGGCCGGATTCGAACCGACGTCTTCTAGCAAACCGTGCTAGATGCCAACTAAACCACGGAACGAATCAGCGGACCTCACAAATTTTTCTATGTGCTCGTTGTCGGGTCTTTTGTATTTGGTTTTTTCAACGACTATTTAGCCGTACTTGTAGTTTTATTTGTTTCTGTGTGGGCTTTATTCTCGTCTATGTGTTGTGGGTAGTTGCTCTAGTACTCATAGTACAGGGAATTCCCTAGTTTGAGACCAGGTTTGTTTTTTTATTCCAAGTGACGTGACGAACAAGTCGTGAGTCTGTTGGTAAGTAACACGCTTGATCACAACAGTAGGAGTGCCATCAAAGCTTCAAATCGCAAAGATCTGAGGGTACTGCCACTGCGCCGGTCACCCTGAGACATAAGTTGACAAGTCCCATGTGCCTGTAATTTCACAAGTACCCTTATCCTTCAAAACCGGAACGTAGTAATGCTCACATTACTGCTTGGAAATAGGTAAGGTGGCAGTAATTTCCTGGACGAACTCTCACAAGGAGCTCTGCATCTACTAAAATAATAATATACGTAAATAAGTGTGGTTAACTAAAGCCTTCTTATTATATAGAAGTAATAGAAGTGACAGTACAGATGGTACCATGTTATAAACATTGGCGAGCGATAGTAATTTAGAAAGATTAACTAGCTAACTCCTAAGCTATGTTGTAACTTGTGTTTATTGGAGTTTGTTTCCCTCGGTAGACAAAAATATATATATAAATTGCCATCTACAGATCTCATCACAGATTTTTAGGCAATGCGGTGTGGGGATTCACATGTTTTCCGAGGGTTGTAAACCTTCTTCAACGTGCAAGTTTCATCACGTAGTTTCATTAACGTGACGTATTGATTCGCAAATATGCCTTACTTAAAAATTGACGTGTTAATTTATTTTATTTGGGATAACTGCAGCCATAAAACAATTTTAACCTTAACATGCTTTTAGCACTTTTTGGATAGGCCAGTTATAGTTATCCACTGGAAGGATTATTGACAGTGGAAGTTTTTGTTAATTAATAACTACGAAGAATAAAAACAAAAAACGTTAATATACGTATTCTTAATATAATTATAAATATAATACAAACCGTTACCGTGCCGGACTGCCGCGCAGAGGTCCCGGGTTCGATTCCGGGGTCGGGGATGTGTGAGTTATTATTATTTATGAAAACATAGATATCAACTGAGAGGCACTCGCTTATTCATCCTAGCGCTGTACAGATATATAATTTATCCATTTACCAAAACTGCCGCTAAAATAATAAAAACAAACGCCATCTAAAGAACTCTCCTTTATTTACGTTAACAAAAGTAGACAAAAATACACCATTTCCCACCCCTGACGCAGTATTCGTACGGCCTACTTTCAACGTTGCTTACTTTCATTTGACGCCTAATGTAGCGTGGCGATGGCGGTCTGACCGCACCCTAACGACGATTGTGCGCTCTGATCTTAATCATGCCGTATCTGCTACACTTTTAGTATATTCCATTAGGTACTTTGTTTATTCCTTATATTTAACTATAATTTGTTCATAATATTAGTCTGTTAATAATACTGTCACCTTAAATATGCACACACTTCGCAACACTTGCTTTTGTTTTGCTTTCTACAACAACACTTGTTTCTAAGTGTACCGATTAAGGCGGTCACTACACTTATCGACACTAAGTCGTAAGCTGGTCAGAAAAAGCGGTCCATGAAGTAAGAGCGAAAAAAACGTTGCGCATTTCGCTTCCCCTCGAACCTCGACGTTAGTAAGGGTTGTATTCCAGAACTCTATTCAATGCTCAAGTCAGGACTTGAGCAGACTTGAGTATGATTTCAAGCACTGGAAATACGACTCTAATGGCAAGGCCTTGAGTATGATTTTCAGTGCTCACTGCAATACTCAAGTCCTGACTTGAGTCAAGTCAGGATTTGAGTATGGTTTAAAGCACTCGAAATCATACTCAAGTCCCTGCCATTAGGGTCGTATTTCCAGTGCTTGTGTTTCCAGTGCAATCCTGACTTGATTTATAGGCATTGAGTAGAGCTCTAGAATACGACCCTAAGTGTGTTGACTCCTATAGCCATCTCTTAGCCACCATTCAATTGTCATTTTACTCCATCTGTCGTCACTTTAAAGTTCATCTTAAATAATACTCTGTTACTACTAACGTACGTGTTAGACTAATCAAATTAGGTTATAGAGTGTAAGTAAAATTATGTGTAACGCTTTAATACTTAAGTATTAAATCACATTTCAGAAAAAGCTTTCTGTTCGTGCACTAAGAGCGCAAAATTCGTTCCGTGCGTGTTTCGTTTCTGCTTTGCCCGCGACCACACACAACGTCTTTTTCGATTTCATTGTGTGGTTATAAAGATTTTTCTGACCGCCTTAAACCGATTTAGCGTTAATAAGTGTGGTGCCTCCCTAACAATAATAAACTTTTATAAATAAACTAGGAATCCGTTGAACTACGCTGGATGTGATGAAATACATTTTCCGAGTCATTCGGTTTACTTTCTTTCTTCGCGTAATGTAGCGTGTCGGTTTGTAACGATCGCTTTGCGTAACTTGAATGTCAAAATTAATCGCAACATTTTTTGATATAAAAAGTATTCAAGTATAGTCGGTCCAAATACATGTCACTAACTACATAAGTATACATTTTTAGGTCTAGTATTTCGAGACTACTATTTAGTAGAACTTCTTGTAAAAGAATTCGTTTCTTCCCACCCATTTCTGCCGCCAAGCAGTACGGTGACCATTATTGCGTCCGGTTTTGAAAGGTATGGGTGCTGGTGTTACAGACACATGGGTCTTGTCAATTTTATGTTTCAAAGAGACGGACGCATTGGCATTGCATCTTGCAGATCGTCCAATGAACCTGTTATGGATGGGCATGTATGTCGCCTACCACCAAGGCGCAACATTTGCAACATAAATGTGACGTCACGGTGCTCACCATGTTAGCTATTGGGATAAAATTTAAAAATGGCGGGTTTTGTCACTCGAATTTGGCAGCTAAATGTTGATATAATACTCGTAGCTTTGCATTTGGCATGCTACGGGGGCTGGAGCGTATTTGTAAATAGCCAATATTAAGTTTTTTATAAGAAAAAACATTATTGTTACGATCTTGTTTATTTAAATAACTTCTTATTTTGAATGTTATTCTAAGCCTTTTTTTGTTATAAGTAGCCATAATGTTTTCGACTGAA